CCACTCATCAATACACCACTCATCATACACCACTCATCATACACCACCCATCATACACCACTCATCATACACCACTCATCATACACCACTCACCAACACCACTCATCATACACCACTCATCAATACACCACTCATAATACACCACTCATCATACACCACACATCATACACCACTCATCATGCACTACTCATCATGCACCACTCATCATGCACCACTCATCATACACCACTATCATACACCACTCATCATACACCACTCATCATACACCACTCATCATGCGCACTCATCATCCAGTTCGCTCTAGCTCCAGTTAGCTCTAGTCAATAGCTTTAGCTCTAGTTTCAATAGCTCTAGCTCCATGTGCAGATGTCGTGGCAGGCGTAGCAGATTTCGTGGCAGGCACAGCATTTTGTGAACCTCCATGAGCAGATGTCGTGGCAGGCACAGCACTTTGTGAACCTCGAGGTGCACATTTCGTGGCAGGCGCAGCACTTTGTGAAGCTCCATGTGCAGATTTCGTGGCAGGCACAGCATTTTGTGAACCTCCATGTGCAGATTTCGTGGCAGGCGCAATGCAAAACGCATGTTCGAGAGATAGCGGGCGCGCGAAATGCTGTATTTTTCAAAACAACCGGTGGCTTCGAACCTGGCAAGTCTAGCGGCTAGCTCTGCGGAACGACGGTTGCGAGACGGTCTCGGGTCATGCTCGAGTCATGCTCGAACCGCCCCTCCATTGTGGTTAGAGTTTTCACTTGCTTCTTGAAGTGCAGATTTCGTGGCAGGCACAGCACTTTGTGAGCCTCCATGAGCAGATGTCGTAGCAGGCACAGCACTTTGTGAACCTCGAGGTGCAGATTTCGTGGCAGGCGCAGCACTTTGTGAAGCTCCATGTGCAGATTTCGTGGCAGGCACAGCATTTTGTGAACCTCCATGTGCAGATTTCGTGGCAGGCGCAATGCAAAATGCATGTTCGAGAGATAGCGGGCGCACGAAATGCTATATTTTTCAATAGAACCGGTGGCTTCGAACCTGGCAAGTCTAGCTCTGCGGAACGACGGTTGCAAGACGGTCTCGGGTCATGCTCGGGTCATGCTTGAATCGTGGTTAGAGTTTTCACTTGCTTCTTGAAGTGCAGATTTCGTGGCAGGCACAGCACTTTGTGAACCTCCATGCGCAGATTTCGTGGCAGGCACAGCACTCTGTGAACCTCCATGTGCAGATTTCGTGGCAGGCACAGCACTTTGTGAACCTCCATGTGCAGATTTCGTGGCAGGCGCAGCACTTTGTGAACCTCCATGTGCAGATTTCGTGGCAGCCACAGCACTTTGTGAACCTCCATGCGCAGAGTTCGTGGCAGGCACAGCACTCTGTGACCCTCGATGCGCAGATTGCGTGGCAGGCGCAGCACTTTGTGAACCTCCATGTCCAGATTTCGTGGCAGGAGCCTCCATGTGCAGATTTTGTGTCAGGTGCAGCACTTTGTGAACCTCCATGCGCAGATTTCGTGGCAGGCGCAGCGCTTTGTGAACCTCCATGTGCAGTTTTCGTGGCAGGCGCAGCACTTTGTGAACCTTGAGGTGCAGATTTCGTGGCAGGCACAGCACTGTGTGAACCTCCATGTGCAGCTTTCGTGGCAGGCACAGCACTGTGTGAACCTCCATGCGCAGATTTCGTGGCAGGCGCAGCACTTTGTGAACCTCCATGTGCAGATTTCGTGGCAGGCACAGCACTTTGTGAACCTCCATGTGCAGATTTCGTGGCAGGCGCAGCACTTTGTGAACCTCCATGTGCAGAGTTCGTGGCAGGCACAGCACTTTGTGAACCTCCATGTGCAGATTTCGTGCCAGGCACAGCACTTTGTGAACCTCCATGTGCAGATTTCGTGGCAGGCACAGCACTTTGTGAACCTCCATGTGCAGATTTCGTGGCAGGCACGACTTTGTAGTACAACTTTAGTGCGCGGAGTATCTGTGGAGCTGGAAGCTGAGAACTGGCGACGTTGTAGTGCAACTGTAGTACGCGGAG